AACAGGCATGTCCAACTTCGAACAGGTAGTGATCTATTTTTTCCGGCCCAAAGTGCCAGTGATCTACCACCATGAAAATAGAGTTTCAAATTAGATTTTAACCCACTAAAGTTGGGTTCTACCACCTGCCCTCCCCCATTTATAATGCACCTTCTGTCATTTACTGGTAAGGGGCTGGTGATATACCTCTGACCCTTCCGCGATCTACTGGTAGATCGCGATCTACCTGTTGGACATACCTGCTCTATAACATTATAGTTGAATCTGCTTTTCATGTTCCATATTGCACTTTCCAGCATCAGATTTTTTGTTGATTCTACTTTGGCTATCTATCAGCAGTTGGGACAGGTGCTTACACACTCTGAAAGGATTTTGATTTGATCTTGTTTCAAACTGGCCTCTCTTTGTAACATCCCACTGCTCCTCTAAAGCTTTCTGTTGTTTGCAACCTTTAAAATAAATTTTGACAGCCTTACAGATGTACACTCCTGTGCATCTGATGAAGTGAGCTTCCACTCACAAAAAGTTATGCTGGAACAAATGTTGTTAGCCTCTAAAGTGCCACTGGTCTCCAATTTTATTTTACAACTTCCCAAAGCTGCAAAGATTCCCATTAGGGTGTCAAGACCATGGTCAGAGCAGGGAATTCCCACCTTCTGGTCCCGTTGCCCATGGGAGAAAATTATTTTTAAAAACCACAGCCTTGACTGTGGAATCACATCATTTCCAGTTTTTTTAAAAAAACATGACAAATCAGCTCTAGGAATCACCTAGGAATCAACTCTACAGTTTTACCACAGAGTTTCCAGAGATTCCTATGTCACTTCTGTTTTTCCCCCTGAAATGATATGATGCCACAGCTAGCCACCAATATCAATACCCAGAGCCCTCCCACTGGTTGCCAGGTACTGCCTGATAACTCTAGATTCTCACACCCTCAAAGTACAAATGGAGCGGTGGCGCAGGCTGTTAATGCAGCCTGCCTTAACATCTGGCCGAACATCTGTTCAAGCCCCACCGTGGCCGGAGTGAGCTCCCGGCCTGCGTCCCAGCTCCCGCCCACCCAGTGGTTCAAAAGCCCGTTAAAGGGCGAGTAGATGAATGGGAACCTACCCTTAGTAGGGTAGGGGCACCCCCCTCGTCCGAGGAGTGTGGTGTGTGGCGGCAGCGGCAGCGAAGGAACAACAACAATGGCGGCGACGGCGGTGGTGACAGCGGATCCTGGCGGCAGAGACGAGGCTGCACGGCGGAACATCGAGAGCCAGTGGAGCGATCCCTGGTGGCCTGCGGAGTTCCAACAGAAAGCGGCCGGCGCGAGCAGCAGAAGGTGCGGATGACGTCATCTCCCAGCACGGCGGAGCCTATCGGACGGAGCCAAGGCCGGGAGAGACGAACTCACACACCGAGACGGCTGCCTCGCTGGAGAAGAACTGCACCGGAGAAAGGAGCGTCCTGCCGACCGAAGGAGCCAAGGAAGCCGAAGCCGGAGACCAGAAGGAAGAGCCACCACCACCGGGGTGCTGGGTAGGCTGACCCAACCCCTGAGAATGTGCCCATATTTAGGGATCCATAAAAGTGATTAGCACTACAAAGTTGTAAACTGCCCAGAGACCCCCATTGGGGGGGTTAGGGCGGTATATAAATCTAAGGTTAAATAAAATAAAAAATAAAAATTACATAAATCTAACACTTCATCACACCAGATGGCCTCTCCTACTTTCTTTAAAATCAGGAAATCTTAGCACTACATATTTATTTGTAGTTTCCGCTTTCGTGCTGCTGCTGCTTTTATCTGTTCAGAAGATTACCTTGGGAAACGGATGATCCCTAGGTTAAATTGCCACTATAAAAGCAATGTTCTCCCAATTTTGCGTTGATCTTAAAAGTTCCCTCCATTAAAAAAAAAAGTTCAGAAAGGCAATTAATAAGAGTAGCAAATGTTCACCAGATACCAATCTATTTTCAAGTGTCCCTGAGTAATAGTAATGGGATTGCCTACAAGAAAACCACTCTTCATTTCATACTTTCATTTATATTACAATATCTCTGAACAGAGGCTACTGTGCTCTCCTGGAAAGAAAAAGGAAGTAGATACGCCAGGCTTTTCCCGTAATTATTTTTCAAACCTACTAAGACTCCTGTTCTTCCATACAAAGACAGTGAGCTGAAGTTTGTAGATTTGAAAATCTTCACATATATACAGCCAAGGCCACGGCAAGTCTAGTTACAGCGAATATTACCATCACAACCCTTCAAACCACAAGATGAGATTGCTACCTACGTCAGTCCCCTGGCCAAGAACTTAACACGTCTACAGTTAGAGATCTGAATGCATAGTAGGAAATTGTGAGGACTTTTTTAGTTTGTCCAGTGGAAAAAGTGAACATTAAGGGGGAGCATCCAAAAAAAAAAAAAAAACCCTCTTACAAAATATTTTTGCTTTTGGAGTGAAACTTTTTTTAAGACAAGGTTTTGTTCAAAATGTGTAATATGAAAATTGAATGTAAGACCATCAACAGCATTATATAATGATAATTCTTGTGTATACTGACATACATTCTCAGGAATTTTTGTTTAAATGTGAATAATTCTGGCAACTGTTAATACACTATAATGTCTTTAATGATAATTCATAATTTAAAAGTTCAGTGTTTTCATTGTTATAAAGTTTAATTTGATATCCAAATATGCTGGTAGTCCTACCTATAGCGACTGTATGAGAGCATTTATGTACAAATTATACACTTTCTACTGTCTTCTTCAGAAGTTTTTTTTCTGTCTTCAAGTTTTATTTTCCTGCATCTCATGTGGCAAAACTTAAGATGCATATTCTAAGGTAGCATAGGTTACAGCAGTTTGCAACTCTCTCAAGTACTGGTCTATTTGCAATGTTTTTTTCTTGTAGAAATTTTAAACATTTGTATTTTTTAGTTTCATAAATAGGCCAAAGGGTAGAATTTTGTATGCTCAGTTATAGGTGGACACATTTATGTTGGTCTTGCACCTTGGACATTAATAGACACCTTTCAGTCAAGATGGAAAAGGGCCCTTTCAGAGAACAATGTATTGGATACTCTCCTAGCAGTTTAATTGGAATTGGTTATTTAGAAGTTAAATCTGAAATTAAGCAAAGGACTAAGGATATTGAACTTCAACACCATTTAATTCTTGTCACAAAATATCATCTTTTTTAGGAATAAGAAATTTGTGCCAGCAAACTATTTGGCTAATTTATTGATTCCCCAATACAAGAAAGCTTTCACTCTGGCCCATTTCAATGCAAATGAATCCTAAACTTCTCTATAATAGGCAATTTGGTCACTACAATATCCCAAGAATGTGACCATACCCCAGTAATAACACTGCAACTTGTATACTTCCGGCCCACCCAAACTGGGTGTGTGTGTGTGTGTAATTCAGAGTAATTCAACTCTGGAACGAATTTAGAGATAACTACAAACAGCCTATGCTTCACTGATGCTCTGCCACTGTACTGCTAAATAACATGTCTGCCTCCTTCTGTTCAATTTTCTCTATCCTGTGCCCCCTGTCTATTGTAATGGCAGCAAGACTGGGGGGGGAGCTGAGAGGCACTGGCAAGGCCTAGCACACAAGGGTGCAACTGAATTCATTCTGAGAAAGGAGCCTCTCCCATATGCAGCTTCATCAGGCAGTTCCAGTTTGTCCAGCCTTAGGAAAAGAGGCCTTAGAACGAAGAGACAGCCAACCCAGTGAAAGAGGACCTACCCAGGATGTGTTTGGGGTGGGGGGTTGATTGTCTTTTATTTAAATAATGGTTTTTAAATTGTTTAAAAAAATTCTGTAAGCTTCTATGGGTCCCTTTGGGGAGAAAAGTGCCATAGGAAATGCACAAATAAATTGATGATGATGTGAAAACAATTCTGGCGACCCTTCTGGCTACTGCGCGCTTGACAATTGCTGCCGCATGGAAATCTCCTTCCACACCATTAGTTTCTGGGTGGCATGACAAACTGTGGGAACACTATATAATAGCAAAAATTACAAACTCACTCCATGAGTCCCACATCACTCCAAGTTTGAGAAAACCTGGTTTCCTATTGTCTCCTTTATGCAAATTCAGAATATAATCCCGGCCAACCCGATATTTCACAAATGGCTAACTCCTCAAAACTACCTTTGACACATTGGTCTGGGCCGAGAACCCACCTATAGTGGGTCCCCTAGTTCACCACTATGTCTAGATCTATTATTATAATGCTGTCTGTAGTACAGTGATAAGGTACAGCTCTATTTCATAACGGTACCCAGTGGTTATGTCAACACAGTTTAACCATACTGCCCTACCTAAGGGCTGTGAGCTATTCCACAAATGTACCTACTGCTTATGTCAACACACTCTTATCATACTGTATTGGTTGATGTTCTTGGATGTAAATATATAAAATTTCAATAAAAATATATATAAAAATTACTACAAATAAATACAAAAAGGAAGCCTCCTCCTTATCAGAAAGCTGTGTAGAATAGACAGACTCACTTTACTGTCCCCCTTTATTCATGGGAGTATGTGTACCTTTGTGTACCAATTATGGATGAAAGACTTAGAGGAGAGGCACAGCTCAGTGGAAAAGCCCCTGCTCTGTATGCACAAGGTCCCAGGTTCAATCCCTGGCATCCCCAGTTAAAAGCATCAAGTAGTAGGAGAGATGAAAGGCCTTCATTTTAGACCCTGGAGAACTGCTGTCAGTCAGAAAAGAAAATATTGACCTTGTTAGACCAACGGTCAGACTCAGTAGAAGGTAGCATCATGTATACATGCTTTGGCACATTTGATTAATACCAGTCACCAGTTGAAAGACTAGCAAACACATTTCCTGGATCCTATCCTTTGGTTGTACACAGGGTTAAGTTTTCAGCTTCTGGCCAATTTAGCCAAATGAAAACTTTTATCCAGTTCCAAATGAAAGACAAGTGACAGCTGCATTTCTCACTCTCAGATTCTCAAAACAGTGCAGTACCTTGCAGAATTAAAGGTTTTTACCAGGTCATCTAACATCCGGTTGTTTTTCAGGTCAGGCTCTACAGCTGCCTAGAAAAGGACAGAAAACAGTCAAGAGACTACTCATACATTTTAAGTCTGTCATATTTTCTCTAGAAAAGGCCATGTCTAAAGGAAAAACAAGGCGCTAAAAATGTGAAACTGAACATTTGAGAAGCATTATATAAAGTTAAGGATTTTGTTTTGTTTTTAAAAAGCTATAATCTAGCAAGCTAACATATTCTTACCACTAAGTCATGCACTGATTTAACAGAGCTGAAACTAAGATTTGGAAGAGAACATTCAGCACTTAAGGAAGATAAGAATATTAAGCCACAGAGGGCGGATAGGAGAGAAAACTTAAAGGAAAATGCCAAATTTGGATTAATTACAGAACAAACAGATACAGTTTCTGAAAAGGTCTGGTGCATACAAATTATTCTTTTATAAAACTGATCTGTTTCTTTTGGTTGTCTTATTTGGTGCAAAACTTGTATTGTTTTATTGCTGGTGGAGGTATTCTCATTGTCTTTTAAAAGAAGATAAATGGAAGAAACAAGGTTATTTGCTGCAGACACATATACAAAAGCAGTTTTCAAACCAGCAACATGAGTCAAGGAGAAATGGGGGGCAAGAGATAGATTAGAGCTTGGAGACTTCCAATTTTCAGTAGTTTGTAATTTAATTCACACCTTTAGAAAGAAAGGCTGAAAAACAGCTGTATTTTCACAGTGTTTATCAAAACCCTACCTTTCTCTGACTATCATTTTAAGTGGTAGACTAAACTCCAATGAGCTCGAAGCAATAACTAAAACACAGCATAGTAAACAGGCCTCCATATAATTTATATTTCAATATATTTTCAGCTAGCATGCTTAGCATATCTAATACAAGCTTCATTCAGTGGTTAGGAAACATTGCCCCAGATATTAATGTAAGAGCAACCCTGCAAAACCATACTAATGATCCATCCTCATGCAATTTTATTAAAGAACGAGTGAACAATCTACGAAGACTTACCTGGCAGGGGAGACACCATGATCACCCAGGAAGCTTCCATGGCAGACTGTGGATTTGGGGAACCTGGGTCACTCTAAGCACTACAAAATACTGTCTCTCATCCTTCCATCCTTCGGCAGGAAGAGCAAGTCAATTTCACTCAATGGCATATGGAACTCGTAAACTGCATACAATTATGAGTACTGGTCCACATTACATTTTTGGTACGTACATGAAAAAAAATGTTTTGCATGTGTGACCTGGCCCGTAGAATTCACAAATAAATTCATGTTGAATAACCAAAAAGTCATAAACATCTAAAGCAGCGGTCCCCAACATAGCACCTATGGCAATCACGATGCCACTGCCACCTTTCCTGTTGCCCACCGAGTGTTTGTAAAAAGTGGGCAGGGACAGATGAGGCTTTTCGAGTTTTTTAATGTTTATACTATGATGCAGATGGTGACCTTATGTATTTATTTACCTGTGTAAATAACAGTCATATTCTGAAAACACAGTGGGACTTGATTCTGACAAAAGACAACTGAGCTGCATGGCTAAAATGCTTAATGCACCTAACAGGAACTTCTATTGAAGTCATCGGCTTTTACCAGTTTTAACATATTTTTATCATTGATGTGGAAGTTGATAAAAACGTCACTACAAATTTCATTCACTTTCAAAAATCTTTTCTGTTCCTAAAATCTGGACAGACAACAGATACTTGCAGATTAGGCTTTCTTGGCTACCTCAATAGATATATTTATTTTGTGTGATATTTAAGATATATTTAAACAAAACACCCAGTTAAACAGAGCTTCTTCATCAAGCCTCACTCACTGACATTTTGTGGCTGGCTCTGCCTCCTGTGGCAGCCATTTTCTGGTTGATTCCACCTCCCTATGTGAGAATTCCAAAGGTGCCCACAGGCTGATCAGGGAGACCCCTGATCTTAAAGTGTGTATATTCTGGAACAAGTTTGACATCAATTGTTGTGTGTCAGAAGAAGCTCATTCATCTTCACTTTGCTCCCCCCTTAACCCAAATGGGGCTTTCCTCTGGTTTGCAGAAAAACCCCCATCTGTTTCTCCTCCAATTGTGCAGGTGTTTTAACCCACATTCTATGGTCTGGCTCAGAATTAGATATGATTTTCCCAGTGCTTCACTAGGTGGTCAGAAAGGAATTCTCTATAACCCAGACTTTTTTTAATTATGGTTTTTTTCCCTATTAACTAGACATAGCACCTCTGAAGAGAAGATAATTATTTTTTCCCTATGAAGATTCACAGGAATGATGCTACTGGCACAAATGAGTCCAGTGAGCCTGTCTTTCTAGAGCTAACAACACTGAAACCCAGAAGAAAGACTGAGCATTTTATCTTTCCCCCAGTGCAATCTGTTCTTAAACCATCTCAGCTTAATTGTGCTTCCTGTTCTACAGATACAGCCCAGTCTCACGTCTTCTGTGCTCATACTAAAGAATACCTTAAAGAATCCAGATTAAGTGCAAGGATACAGGCTGTTTACCCCTTTCCCCACCATGCCACTTCCCATCACGCCCTAAGCAGTCCTCACCATGAAATGTAAGTTAAGAGCTAAATGGGATGATTTAGCCTGCAGATTTATGGATGAGGCTGTACATACATTCACACAGACCCACAGATACAGTATTTCTCCAAACTCTTCCTTCTAGAAGCTGCTTTTGCTAGGCAAAAAAACTGAAGGGTGGGGGTGGTGAAAGAGGATTCATACATCATTGGATATGATGCTATCATTTACCGCTTGGATTTTTCCTGTGTGGACAAGAAAATTTAGCCAAAATATTCCTCAAGTGTACTTACACATACCACATAGTTAGCCCTCAGGATAATGCATAAGCTATAAGCTACTAGATAGGCTGGTAGACAGTGCTGGGGAGGAGACAGTGGTCATGGTACACGTTGGCACCAATAATGTGGGGAAATGTAGTCGTGAGGTCCTGGAGGAAAAATTTAGGCTGCTAGGCAGGAGACTCTAGGCCAGGACCTCCAAGGTAGCCTTCTCAGAAGTGCTGCCTGTTCCACACACAGGACCAGGCCAGCTAGACAAATTAGGAGTCTCAATGTGTGGATGAGACAATGGTGTATGGAGGAAGGGTTTAAGTTTGTTAGGCACTGGAATGCTTTTTGGAACAAGCAAGACCTGTACAAAAAAGATGGCCTCCACTTGTCCCAAGAAGGAATCAGGCTGCTGGTACTCAAAATCAAAAAGGTAGCCGTGCAGTTTTTAAATTAAATCTGGGGGGAAAGCCGAAAGGAGATGAAATGTCTCTGGTTTGGGATGCCTCATCTCAAAGAGATGAAGGGGTAGCTGTTACTGTTCTACAGGGAAATGGATTAGGGCTGGCCACTGAGAAGATGACACATCTAGAAGCCACAGGAGGAAGGTTACAGGCCTAATGCATCTGAGATATTATAGATGTTTATATACAAATGCTAGAAGTGTCCAAGGTAGAATGGGGGAGCTGGTATGCTTAGTATCAGAGGAGAACATAGATACTGCAGGAATTTCAGAAACTTGGTGGGATGAGGAAAATCAGTGGGATACAGTGATTCCCAGATATAAACTATATCAGAAGGATAGGGAGGGAAGGGTCAAAGGTAGAGTGGCTTTGTATGTCAGAGAGGGTATACAGTCCTGTAAGACTGAGGATGTAAGAGAAACAAATTCGCTTACAGAAATGCCATGGGTGGAAATACTGTGCCCAAAAAGAAGTTTGTTATCTGAGAGTTTGTTATCACCCACCAGATCAAAGGTTAGAGTATGATTTTAAAATAGCACAAGAATTAAGGAAAGCAGCTAGACAAAAATAACTGTGTCATAATAGGTGATTTGAACTACCACACATTGATTGGGTAAATACGTGTTCAAGTCAGGAGAAAGAAATTGGGCTTCTAGATACACTCAATGACTGTGCCATGGAGCAGATGGTCACAGAGCCTATCAGGGGAGAGGTGATCCTCGCCTTGGTTCTAAGTAATGCTCAAGACCAGGTGAGAGACGTAAATGTGATAGCACTAGTTGGGAACAGTGACCATAATATTATTAATTCTACATTTATATAAGTAGGAATTTGCCCCAAAAGACCAACACAACCACTTTTTAACTTTAGAAGGGGTAACTTCTCTCAAATGAGGGGGCTTGTGAAGAAGAAACTAAAAGGAAAGGTAAGGAGGGTCAAATCCCTTTGGGAAGCATGGAGACTATTTAAAACTACAATCCTAGAAACTCAGGTTAGGAAAGGTATACATACGTACAAAAAAAGGCCTGCATGGTTAACTAACAAAGTAACGGAAGCAGGAAAAGGTAATAATGATTCTTTAAGTGGTGGAAGACTAGTCTAAGTGAGGTAAATAAAAGGCAGCACAGGCTGTGGCAAATAAAATGCAAGTCGGTGATCAAACAGGCAAAAAGGGACTATAAGGAACATATTGGAAAACAATGAACATTTCTTCAAATACATTAGAAGCAAGAAACCAGCCAGGGAGGCAGTGGAGCCCTTGAATGACCAAGGGGTCAAAGGATTACTAAAGGATGATTAGTAAATGGCAGAGAAACTAAATTCATTTTTCGCCTCTGTCTTCATTGTGGAAGATGGGAGGTCTTTGCCCACTCCAGAATCACTGATTTCAGGAGGGGTGTTGAAAAACCTGAGTCAGATTGAGGTGATGAGAGAGGAGGTCCTATGCCTAACGGACAAATTAAAAACTGATAGATCACCAGATGGCATACAGCCAAGAATTCTGAAGAACTCAAATTTGAACTTGTGGATCTCCTGATAAAAATTTATCATTAATATCTGCCTTCATTCCTGAGGACTGGAAGGTAGCCAATATAGCCTCCATCTTTAAAAAACGGCTCCAGAGGAGATCTGGGAAATTACAGGCCAGTCAGTCTAACATCAACACTGGGTAAGTTGGTGGAATCTGTTATTAAAGACAGAATTAGTAGACACATTGATGAACAAAAGAGAATCAGCATGGATTCTGTAAAGGAAGATCTTATCTTACTAACCTGTAAGATTCTTTGAGGGGGTGAACAAACATGTGGACAAGGGTGGCACAATAGATGTTGTTTACCTAGACTTCCAGAAAGCTTTTGATACAGTTCCTCATCAAAGGCTCCTAAGTAATCTCCATAGTCATGGGATAAGGGGACAAGTCCTCTTGTGGATTAAAAACTGGTTAATCAATAGGAAACAGAGACTGACTATAAATGGGTGGTAAGCAGTGGGGTACTGAAGGTCTCAGCACTGGGTCCAGTGCTTTTTAACTTGTTCATTAATAATTTGGAGTTGGGAGTAAGCAGTGAAGTGGCTAAGTCTGCAAATTACACTAAGTTGTAAAGGATGGTGAGAACCAGGGAGGATTGCGAGGCTCTCGAGAGCAATCGGTTGAGGCTGGGCAAGTGGGTGCCAATGTGGCAAATGAGGTTCAACATGGGCAAGTGCAAATTAATGCACATTGGAGCCAAAAATCCTAACTATAAATACATGTTGACAGGCTCTGACCTGGAGAGATATCTTGGAGTCATGGTACATAACTCACTAAAAATGGGAGCCTGGTATGCAACAGCAATAAAAAAAGGCAAATGCTATGCTGGGGTTTATTAGGAAATCAGCCAGTATCATAATGCCCCTGTATAAATCGATGGTGCGGCCTCATTTGGAATGCTGTGTACAGTTCTGGTCACTGCACCTCAAAAAAAATATTATAGCACTGGAAAAAGTGCAGAAAAGGGCAACTAAAATGATTAAAGGACTAGAACACTTTCCCTATGAAGAAAGGTTAAAGAGTTTAGGGCTCTTTAGTTTGGAGAAATGACAACTGAGGGGTGACACGATAGAGTTTTATAAAATTATGCACGGGACAGAGAAGGTAGAGAAAGAAGTACCTTTATCCCTTTCTCACAATACAAGAACTCGTGAGCACACAATGAAATTAATGAGCAGTAGGCTTAGAACAGATAAAAGGAAGTACTTCTTCACCCAATTAAGAGAAGGAGAGCTAGGTTGCTAGAAAAGGAAAGGGAAATGAAGGCAACCCTAAGAAAGAGGCCTGAAGCCATGTTCCAGGGATATCTGAGGAGGGAAAAACAGATAATAGCATGCTGAAGAGAACTACTATTTAATGTTCCACCTAGGGAGCCAAAATTCCATTCCTGGATTATAGCAGAATAAATTTCAGGTAATTCCAATGAACTCTAAACTTGCAGAACTGAGAAAAAGGTAGCCTGGACATTTCCCAAACAGGGCAGAATGTGACAGGCAATAACACTTACCACACAACACGTAGGACACTGAGCTTTATAGGACAGGGTCTTGCGTATGCAGAGAGAACAATCTGGAGGAAACATATGACATAATTAGCAGGGTGGGCTATTTGCTAAAAGTACAAACACTATAGTTTGATTTTCCAGCTGCTAAAACCTGAGGCATAAATTGCAGCAATGATTGCCATTTTCCTCTGCATGATGATTTTTTTCCTTCAGCTCATCATTTTAATGGTGATCAAATATTTTCCACAGAGCAGCTAACACCGCAGGGCTGAGGAGGAGAAGGGAGTCTTACAAATAGGATGACAATTTTTCACAAGCAACAGAAACATACCTAGAGTATCATAATTACCACTGCATGACATGAAATCCAGCAGAAAGTACTGTTTTGCTGGTTACATTCCTTGATTATGCCAGCAACATGTCCAGAGCAACCATTTCCTCAGCAACACCATCAAAATTCCTTCAAACCATTCCAGTGATGTTCTTCAACGACAATTCAGAGAAAACATACAGAATACAAGCACCATTAGGAAGCTTTGCCACCTATGCTGAGAAGACTGCCCGCTTGAGGGGTAAATGCACTGCTGCAGCTTGGCTTTTTTAAAGGGACACTTTTTCCCCCTCTGCGGCAGAAAACGCCTGTTTCCGGTGGGGCAGGGAAACCCAAGCCTTTTTTTTTGGGGGGGGGGAGAAGCAGCACACTTGCAAGCCCCAGCTGCTTTGCTCTGAAGGCTTGCGGGCGGGGGCTGTCTGGGGGGGGGGGGTTTGGGGGCTTAGGGAACCATCTGCCTTGGGGGAGAGGAGCTTCTCAGACAGTCGTTTCTACACAAAAAAAAACTGTTTGCAAATGCACCCTTTTTTTATTCCGTCTTAAAGCACTCCTTCCCTGGTACCAAAAAACACAGAGATTTGCCATTTCTCTCAGTTTCGAAATCATAAGTTTGCAGCAAGCAAACCCCGAGCCATTTCTCTTTTAGGTTCCCCCACCCTCCCGCTATACAAAAAAACAACAGTAGCCATCTTCCCCAGCCTCCTTCTCCAATAGCCACTTCACACAACCCTAACTCCTCCTCTTTCTCCATTTTCCATTTGATGGCTGCCCAGCCAATAGGGAGAAAGCTGGAGGAGGACAGGACTTCCAGGGTGGGGATGGAGGGAGGTGGGACTTCTGGCTATGGGGGGATGGGAACCCTGACATTTCTGATTTTGACAGGTGATGCCCCCTATATCCTCCTAATGATTGCTTATCCAAAACTGTTCAGTAAATATCAGACCTTGCTACTGGGAAGTTCCAACCACCTCAGTATGTTGGATGGTCTGAAAGAGCCAATTCCTATTACCTTCCTTAGTATTTCTGCATATGTACACAGAGGCCCAAACACAGATTCATTAATTTTACAATTATTCCCCTCCCTTGCATTTGAGCTCATATACGACTCTCCTAGCTTCAAGTAAACCAATGCATTTGAAATGCTTTACTCTTGTTTAGAAATCATGAATTATGAGACTGGAAGCTTGATGTAAATCAGTGTTTGAAATTGGCTTTTGGTGATATAAATTATGATTTAAATAATTTAAATTATGATTTAGATCACTGGTTTAGATCACTTTGACTTAAAAATCAATCCACCCTGCATCCAAGCAAGCATAGTAAGAAATAATCATAATTTCTCCATTCATTTATGAGCTTGCCAACCAGTTAATATTTTGTAGGATGCCAGCCATTTATCATGTAGTTGTTAACTCCGTATCTTAACACTAAAACGAAAGGAAAGTAGTTTAATTCTGCACCTAATCCATTTATATCGCTCTTAATGATGAAGCAGAGAAATAGAGCCATTTATTTTCAATTCAACAACTACACTGCTGATCAATTAAGAAGTCTCTTAATAAATGTTACATAACACAATTTTCCATATATGGAAATCTATATTAATTTTCTAGCTGCATGAATATGAATAAGTTTAATTGATCAGCACAGCTATTACACCTGCCCCCCAGTACCAAGACATTTTAGAATGTGTCACAACTGATTTATGCCCTGTTCATTATTCATGTCCAGAGGAACTGAAAGGAATCCAGAAATAAAACACTGGAACAGAACCAAGAGAACAATCTTTAGCACTAGGCCTCATTTATATTTACAATGACAATGAAGTAAATTTCTGCCTTCAAAACTGTAGCTGCAAAAATAATTACAGGACTCAACTGAAATACCAAATCGGAATTGTTAAAGACTCAGCTAGTACCATTACAGAAACAGCTGCTATATTATGTACCAGAAGAAAGAAACTAGAAGATCCTCCAAGAAACGGGAAAGCGAAGTGATAATAGTACACTGGTGTTTTCCTTCACTTTCACAGTGTATGTCTGTCAGGTTTTCTTTGTCATTCTGCATTCCCATTGCTTTCACTGTGCATGTGCATGTACATCGGGGGAGGGGGGTGTCTGAATTTTTCCTCCCTTCAGCGATCAGTTCACTGTTTGCTGTTTGCCCGAGTTTTCTGAGAGTGGTTTTGTGCCAGTATTTCCCCTTGCTTTGATTCCAAACTGAAGGAAATTCAAAAGCATACAGATTCCCTCAAACTCCCCCCCACTTTCCAGCCCCTCAGAGGACACTTAACCACCCACATTGAGGTCATTCTTTCCACTCCTTATTGGTCAGTTTCACATGCTGGGCAGGGGGTCGCCAGCTGCACAACACATGCTGGGCAAATCCCATTTTTCCCTTACTTTGGGCAAGTGGTTGTGTGTTACAATCCAATTTTTTAAAGAACCCTCCTGGTGGAAGGAGTTTACTTTGCTTTTTTTTCCTCACTTTTTTTTGCTAAGCACTTTGGAAAAATAAAAGTGCCAGCGCTAGTGAGGGAGGGGGAGAAACCATCCTCCTCTCCTGAAGTTAAAGAAAAAGACTTGGAAGCGGTGGACAGAGAAGAAGAAAAAGAGACAGTTTTGCAAAAAATAAAACCAGCCCACCTTCTTCCTGTGTGGCTGGGAGGGGGGCACCAGAAAGAAAGGACAAGAGAACCTGGGTTGTGCATTTCTGTGTGTGGTGTGAAATTGACCAGGAGAGACTGGGGGGTAACTGAAATGAAGGGTCTTTCAGAGTAAGAAAGAAGAAAGGAAGAGTGCCGGTGGGTGGGTGTGGCTGGTGGGCTGCAAGGTTGGAGGGGAAAGAGAGAGACAAGGAAGAGAGTGGGGGAGAGAGAAGGTGGGGGGGGAATGCAAAGTTTTGAGGCAAATTTTTCCAGGCAATCGTTGGATGGACTGGAGGACGTGGCAAAGCCAGTTTGCAAAGAAAGAGGCAATGGGAGAGAGAGAAAGAGGCATGAGTGGTTGGAAAAGGCCAGTTCAAAGTTGATGGGCACAGGAGAGCTCACAGGAGGTGTGGCACGCCCAGCAACTGCTGCCAGGGGGGGAAGCTGCCTGGATGGGGGGCGGGGAGTCTAATTGGAACCACATGAAGAAAGGATGTCAGAGCCAGGCTGGAACAGCGAGGCCAGAGTGGAGAGCTGCACAGAAGGAGAGGGAAAGTGGAGGAGGTGTGGGGTGCGCAGAAGGCACGTGGGAAGCGTGTATTTGTGTGGCTGGAGGGAGGGGAGAGGAGATGCGACAGCTGAGGCCACCCCCCAGTTGATCAGGGAAGGTGAGCTTGCTAACGGAGGCAGGACATGCTGGCCGTGGGGGGTGGGATGTCAATGCACAGCAACCCACAAGCAAGACTGACATGTTAGGGAGCCGTGCAAGAATCAAGAGAGCTGAGACAGGGTTCCTTTCAGTTCCCTTTCATTCAACGAACTAATACTAAAAGGCATGTACAAAACCTGAACCACAAGGATTTAAATGGAAGGTGCTTGCTGGATGCTACTGCGTAGCTGCGATAGGACAATTGTGTAAAAAATTTTAAACCTTTGCACACCACCATCCACATGTTACAAGTGATGTTCCCAAGCCAATTAAGAAAACCTGCAGATTTTGGTTGCAGCTGTAGAATACATTCACAAAAATACACAGGAGAAAAAAGAATGGTGCATACAGCAGGCAAACAAATCCAAAGTCAAGCTTAGAGGCTTCACTGCTGGGATTTTCCAGAGTAAGCTGTCAGTGCATAATGGACCTTATTGACTAAAGGACACCCGAAACTATGCTGTGATACTAACAAATTTTTAACAAATCTTACCAACTGTTATTTTTGACAGAACAAAGGTTGACTTCCCCATAAATAGAACCTGTCACAGTCATTATATAAATTTATGATAAACCCAAATTTAGAAAACTGTGGACAGCTCTGTTGATCCCATCTCAAAAAGGCTATTATAAAGCAACAAAAACTAAGGGGGAAAGGATAACTCTGAACTGGATACTGAGGAGAATTCAGGCTGATTTCAGCCATAACTGAGAACAGTCGAGTACTGACAGTTTCTGAATTCAGCCATGACTGAGAGCAGTTTAACACAGAAAGGAGAACTGGGAGAAAGTTGGCAAGGAAGTTTGGGAAGTAGGCAAAGACTCCCAATTGGGCCAAAGAAAGGGGATAGATTTTCTAGAGAGAGAGAAGAAAATTCCCTACTCAGACAAACAGGGAGTTAGCTCTGAAGAGTGCAGAGGTCCCTGGTCTGGTGTGGTTAGAAACTGACTTTAGAGACCTTAAGAGTCAGTTAAAAACTCAAGACGAAGACTGATGTTTCAAAAGAAGGGGTTTGGGTACTGGAAAGATCTTCTGGAAACTGGAAAGAGTCTGGAAACTGGAAAGAGTCAGAGAATACTTAAAGGAAGTGTACTGGAGTGTTTGGGGAAAACACTAGAAAAAAAGTCACTCAACATAAAGATCTAAGTAACTGTGAACAGCTTAAGATAAGAAACTCTCATTAGCCTGAAACATAAGAACTAAAGTCTGTGTATTATATTATATTACCTCAGAAATTTCAACCCCTGATTTCACCTGACCATTTCCCTCTATGTTAAATAAAATATTTTGTTATTTTTGAATTTCAAAACACCTTAAATGCCATTCAAGTTGTTTAAGTTAAAGCGGTCTCCTGATCTTTCCCTCAGGTTCCTGGGCCAAAATATCATTCTGTGACTGGGTGGGACAACCAGAGTTCTTCAGCAAAGAAGAAAACGCATTACTAGGGTAGCTCAGTCAGGAAACGGAAATGAAAACAGAGGGAAAATCTTGCTTCTGAGGGAGGGAAGTAGATGGGGCCATCATAACAGCCTACAAGTATACAAGACACTAACCAGAAAGGCTGTGTACTCATGCATAATTACTTATGGTTAATCACACTGGGTTTACTTCCAGGCAAAATTACATAGGACTAGGATACACATATAGCCCCCATCCACATAGCCATTTGCCTCATTAAAACAGGGTTCCAAATAATTCTACTGTGGCTCCAGAATGACACTGTTATAGCAAATGTCACATCTTCTGTCAAAGCAGATGTAGCATTACATTACACGGAAACTTGGCCAAGGGACCATGGGAAAGAAGAGGCTACATTACAAAGACATTCACATACTTACACCCATGGCCACCCATGACTTCTCATACTGAAGGGGCTCTTTCTCCCTGCCCCCTTCTCCCCTCCACACAATGCAATGCATTATTGCTTTTTACAGTTCTCTTTCACCACTTCTCCCACTGTCATTTTCAAAACTGTGAGTTCCAGACCTTAGCTGTCGTCTCAAAGCCACATCATTAGTGGAAATCAACATCTATTGAACCCAGTGGTAGTTGCTTCTCAGTACATGTGGTATGGAAGGAAAACATGAAAATCACATCAGGGCATAAGAGGAAAGAGTAGACCCTTAGGACACTGGGACTACACTGTATAGTTCAGTAACCACAATCTGGATGTACTGGAAACCTATACACTAATTAAAAGACTGTGGTGTAGTGGTCTCCTAGCAACTCTCTGTGCCTCCACTTATAGAAAGATTTCAAAAGCCACCCAAGCTGAGTTTCTGGCAATCATCATGCCAGTCTCAAAACTTGGGGAGAGAGTAATTTGTCATCTGAATTTTCTTTGTCCTTAGGAGTCCTCATCACCCCTAGATTTTCAAATGCCTAGTTTTCAGATTTGAGGAGGACAAATTAAAAAAAAAACTAGCATAAAGAACTCACTGACGATGTATATATGTACATCATAATTTATTATTTCTGTTAGATAAGATGAATTGAATAGGGAAAAATGAATTCATTTGGGATATTTTATTGTATTTAGCAATGGATTTTAACCGTAAGCCACACTGTGACTGAGAAGTGTAATTTTAAAAAATCAAACCCATAAATAAAAATGAGACAAAACTCTGTACTTACAATTATGTGAACACTGGGGGATGATCATTGCAATATTGAAGTAATCAAAGCATATCCCACATCGCAACAAGTTGTCCACTTCCTGAAATAACATTTGAAAGCTTATTTTCATAAATATAGTGCAAATAAATTCTGGTCTAGAATAAGGGAAGTTTTAAAGAAGCACTTACACATGAAGGGGGGTAAAGACCCAAATAATTTAATGTAATTATTGCCATTTCTATAATTACTTAATAAGCATACAGGCAAAATGTTATAATATTCGAACACATGATCAGCTCATGGAGGAAAAATCCAATTTATATCTCATTTGTCTCTCAGACTGGGACCCAGAGTATGGCTTTCCTGCCTCTCCCTTCCTGTCCCTTGGTGATGGTTCAGATCCTTGTAGTAGGTATGGTATTTGTCACAGGAACTACAGCAGGTATGAGGAAGTCAACTGATATTCCACACACAAAGCCCTTGTACAAGCATTAGCACCTTTCCACTCACGCAATGGTGGGTTGGGATCCAAGCCAATATGCAGAAAAACATTAAAGAGAAATATCATTTGAGTTCTGATTCTTGCTTTACAAGAGTAAAAAAGACAAGCAGGAAACAACAGGAGCCACTAAAACATTTTGCACATATGAACTAGGCTTATTTACTTATTTATTTATTTTTACCCCCACCCTCCCCGCCGGGGCAGGCTCAGGGTGGCTTACACAAGATAGCAATAAATAAAACAACAATATTAATCTCAATATAAAAACACACAAAATAGTTATTAAAAACAATTTACATAGCAATAGCGGTACAGCTGTGGTAAAGTGCATATGAAAACATACATTCAGTGGTAAGTTCCACTATCGGCGGGCTCAGGCTGGAAATAATATTGGCACAGGGCATAGGTAGTGAAATGCAGCTCCTTATCTAAATGCCTGGTGGAAAAGCTCCGTTTTCACGACCCTGCAGAACTGTGAAAGGTCCCGCAGGGCCCTGATCCTCTGGAAGCTCATTCCACCAAGTTGGAGCTGCCACAGAAAAAGTCCTGGTCCTGGTCGATGCCAGCCTGGCATCCTTAGAGACAGGGAGGGCCAGACGATTTTGCGACCCTGACCGTACTGCTCTCTGGGGAACATGTGGGGAAAGGCAGGTAGGTAGATCCCTGACCATAAAGGGCTTTAAAGGTAAGCACCAGCACCTTGAAGCGAATTCGGTATGCTATAGGTAGCCAGTGCAGTGCTTTCAGCACAGGCTGGATGTGCTCCCGCATGGGGAATCCCATCAACAGCCTGGCTGCCACATTCTGCACCAGCTGAAGCTTCCAGATTTGTGTCAAGGGCAACCCCATGTAGAGAGTGTTACAGTAGTCTAATCTCGAGGTGACCGTAGCATGGATCACTGTTGCCAAGTCGTTGTGTTCAAGGAAGGGAACCAACTGCCTTATCAGCCGAAGATGGTAAAAGGCTGACTTAGCAGTGGCTGCTACCTGGGCCTCCATCATTAGAGAAGCATCCAGGAGCACTTCCAGACTCCTTACCTCCAACGCTGGCACCAGTGGCACCCCACTGAAGGATGGGAGTGGGATCCCTAACCCCAGTCCGCCCTGACTTAGGCACAGGACCTCCGTCTTCGTCAGATTCAATTTCAGTCTGCTCAGTCTAAGCCAGTCAGCCACGGCCTGCAACGCCAAGTCCAGATCTCCCGGGCTAGAGTCTCACTGGCCGCCCAACAACAGATAGAGCTGGGTGTCATCTGCATACTGGTGACAACCCAACCCATGCCTCCGGGCAATCTGCTGAATAGCATCAGGGAAAGTACCACTCCTTGTGGCACTCTGCAGACTACCGGGTGCCTTCAGGACATCTGTTCCCCTAGTGCCACCTTTCATCCCCAACCTTGTAGGAACTAAAGAGAGCCACTGCAAGGCAGACCCTTGAATCCCAACATTGGGTTCAGGATACCAGAAAAACCATCTTCATGGGTATTACCAGCTCATGCTCCAAGGTCCGTCAAGGAGGCTCTGCTCAAGGAACCCACAGTGGCCGAAGTACTCTAACGGGAACCCACAAATAAGACATTCTCAACAACTGGAATTCTCTCCTCTGTATCTGCTTGTGCTCCTTATACTACACACTTTCCAACATCAATTAGACTTTTATTCCAGTAGGCCTTTTAAAATTTATTCCCCACCATAGTTCCATCTAGCTCATGATTTTATACATGGATCCCTTTATTTTCTTAATTCTCAAGATGGCCCCATTCATGGATACTTAACACCAGAGTTAGAGGCCATGGACAGACAAGACAGCTCTTCCTACAAACCTGAAAAAAGCCCCACAATTGCAGAAAAATTTGAAACTATATACATTGAGGGGGTTAAAACCCAACAAAATGGTAGAAGCAGCACCTATAGCTTTAAGAAAGGAATGCCTTTAGTGGCTATTGCTAGGCAACCACAACAGTACTGCCAACCTTCCAGCCTGGGTTTTGGTCAGTAAAATGCAGGGGAAGGACCCTTTCTAGGACCATTTTGGCCTTTGAGGGAAGAATCACTGTGACCAGTCCTGGCAGCAACTACTGGGCAACTTGATAGTACATGACCTGCATGACTCACACAGACCCAGTTACTTGCTACTGCTTAACAGCAGCCCCCCCCCCCACCGCATGGTACAGTGGTTCGAGTTCCAGACTAGAATCTGGGAGACCCAGGTTCAAATTCCTATTCTGCCATAGAAGCTCACTGGGTGACCTTGGGCCAGCTACATATTTTCAGTGTAAGGTGCTTTTCATCATGGTTGTGAAGATAAAATGAAGAAGAGAATGCTGTAAGCTGCTTTGGGTCCACATTGTGAAGAAAGGTATGGTATAAATAAAGTAATAAATTATAAATATAGCTGAAGATGTAAAGGTAAAAGTAAAGGTTCCCTTGCTCGAAAGCCAGTCGAATCCGACTCTAGGGTTGCGATGCTCATCTCCGTTTCAAAGTCAAAGAGCCAGCGCTGTCCAAAGACATTTCCGTGGTCATGTGGCCGGCATGACTAAACACCAAGGCGTACGGAACGCTGTTACCTTCCCACCAAAGCGGTACTTATTTATCTACTTGCAATTTCTTGCTTTCGAACTGCTATGTTGGCAGCAGCTGGAACTAGAGACGGGAGCTCACTCCATCATGCGGCACACCCGGGTCTCGAACTGCTGAACTACTAACCTTCCACAGCCTGCAGTTCAGCGTCTTAACCACTTGAGCCACCGCAGCTCCTAGCTGAAGATGGGGGGCAGATAAAAGTTAGGGTGCTGGATGGCTGACAAGGAGTGAAGGAGGCAAGCAAAGGGGTGAGGATCTGGGGGTGGGAAAAGAGGAAATAATCTGGGGAAGGGGATACAGGGTAAAGTGAAGTGACCTCCACAAGTCCTTGAAGGTTCCATACCATACAACTGGGCCTAGCCCAGCAGCCAGCCCCCCACAACATGGCCTTAGTTTTCCCAGGTAGAGACTGAAGGGGGGGGGGAGATGAACATATGCCTTACACTAAATCAGACCACTGGTCAAAATCAGTATTGTCTACTCAGACTGGCAGCGCCACTCCAGGCTACAGTCTTTTACATTCTCTGCTATATGATGCTTAACTAAAGATCCTGGGGATTGAACCTGGAACCTACTGCATGCCCAGCAGAGGCTCTATCACTGAACCACAGCCCCTCCCCAGCTGCTTGCTATTGTCTAATAGCAGCCACTTCACAATAGCCAAGATTGCATAGAGGAGAATGTCAGGCTAGGATCTGGGAGACCCTAGTCTGTATCCCCACTCTGCCATGGAAGCTTGCTGGCAGTGCCATGCAACTGGGACCCAGTTCAGCCAGCACCATACAGCTGGGCCCAGCAACTGCCACCACACAACTTGGCCAGAGTTTTCCTAGACAGAGGCTGCCAGGGGGGGGAAAGACCGGGGGGGGGAGTAAAGATAGGTTGCTGGTAAGTGGAAAGGAAAGAAGGAAGCAGGAAAAGAGGAGAGGCTGTGGAGGCTTTCAGGAAAGGGACAGAGAAAATAATGGGGGAGGTGAAAATGAGATGCCCCCCCCCCAACAAGTCCTTGCAGGTCCCAAGCTTGTTATTTTCTGCATTTTAAACTGATGGAAGCCTCTTCAAGCATTGTTAAGTGTAAAGGTGGCATATAAATGTGCTAAATACATAAATACAATAAACTGCAGAAGCGGACTGAGACAGTTACCCACACACTGCAGCTCAAAGTGCAATCCTATGCAGAATTAGTCCAGGTCATTAGAGTTACAAGCACCATCACCATATGTGCTGAGTACCAGAGGATTTACTTTTAATGTAGTAAATCCCAGGCTCAATCCCTGGCATCTGCAGTTAGACAGATGAAGCAGTAGGTGATGTGAAAGACCTTTGTCTAAAGCCCTGGACACTAGACAACATTGACTTTGGTAGATCGATGGTCAATATAAGGCAGCTTTGTGTGTTTATTTTCTTAGAATGGCTATACAGTTTAGAAAAGTGAAGAGATAGAGATGCTAGTTTACCACTTAGCTAGATGATAACCACTTCTCTACAAGTTTCACCACAGATCACAAAAAATGGCATGAGGAGATGGAGTTAAATCCTCTGTCACTGACATTATGAACCCAGTCCATATTGATTTTAAAGGGGGATTACACAGATTCACTGAGAATAGGCCCATGACAACTAAAGGCAACCCCCATATCCAAGGCAGTAACCCTCTGAATAAAAGTGCTGAGGGACAGCAACAGGAGGAGGCTCTGACTTCCATGCCCCGTTACAGGTCAGACATCTGGTCCGTTACTATTTGAAACAGGAAGGTGGACGAGATGGACCACTGGTCTGATCCAACATATGACCATTCCTCATGGTCAAATGACACACCTGGTGCTTCAATCGAGAACTCCTGCATTAGGTATCCTTACCAAGGTCCGATTCTCAAATGGCTTTTGAAGATGATGTCATATTGTCTTGTGTAGGCACCCAGATATTTTACATACTTTTCATTAATTCAGTGCAGACGTATATGCACACCCCAAGTATAGCACCCGCTAGAAGCTGCATGCTCTGTGTACTGAACAAATGTAAGCATTTTCTATTGCCTAATACTCAGAATTATGATTTCCTCAATTATCAAAACCCCGATTTTGGAACAGGAGTCTCGTGGCACCTTCAAAATTACCTAGTTTTTCATTCTACCATACAGTCCACAAAAATGTATGCTAGAATAAAAGCTTCAGGACGCCACAAGAGACCTGTTTATTTCGCTGCCACCAGACTAACTTACCTACCGCTTGGGAATCTTTCCCAATTCGGGGACAGTTTTATAACAAGAAAGGCAGCGCAGATTAAGGACACAGCTGTCAGGAAAATGTACAATTGAATGTTATGTATTTGCCTACAACGTGAACCTCTCCGAAGCTGATGGCTCCCCACCCCCAACGGCAGGCTGCTTTCCGCCTCTGAAAGGGACGATCCTCTCTACTTACTTTCAGTGGGGCGAGATGCTCAGGCCACTGGGAGTCATCCAAGGCAAGAGACATGGCCTCCCCTCACCCTGAAGAAGCCGATACCTGAAATTTTTGCCTGCCAGACTCGAAATCGCCCGCGCTGCCTTTCCTGGAACTAGCGGGAATGCACAAGACACACCTCCGTTTCCGGGTGTGTCGCTGAATGTGTCGGGAAATGTAGTTTTCTTTGAAACAGAGTAGCCCTCTGCTTCATGGAGTTTCTCTGCATAAAAAATCAATAGCTTTATAGACGAACGACAAGGTGCGACTCAGCTCTTATGGGGGAGAAAAAGTCCGTCTCGTTCCTCCTCGGAAGCTATCCAGTTGCCCGCGGACTTATCGGAATAAGGTTTAATTATGCTGCCTGTTTTCGAGAGAGCTCTTTGTTTTGCAAAGCAATATAGCTGCAGAGTCCCCAGAGCATACGAAAACTCACCCTGGGTTCAGTGGGGTTATTTAATTGCATCGGATTGCAACCTGACATCGTCAGGCAACTGGGCCGCCAGAAGTTAACCTAGGCACAATATGCCAGTTTATACCTGATCCCTTCGCTGAAGTCGTATTATGAGAAATGGCGCGGGCAGTGGGTGCAGGCAGAACCTGAGGGTAAAGATGTAAGCACACAGCGGCAGAGTTACGAACAGGACAGAGTAGGAATAGGGTCGCCAATCTCCAGGTGGTGGCTGGAGATCTCCTGGGATTACAATTTATCTCCAGGTGGCAGAGATCAATTAACCTGGAGAAAAAGGCTGCTATGGAAGATGGGCTATATGGCATTATACCCCATTGAAATCCCTCGGCTCCCCAAACTATGCCCTCTTCAGGCTCCAGCCCCAAAATCTCCAGGTATTTCACAACCCAGAGCTGGTGACCCTAAGTGAGAGAAATGGAACCTTGAATGTGAGCTAGGGGGGCCAGCCTCCAGGTGGGACCTGGGGATCCCCTGGGATTACAGCTCATCTGCAGATGACAGAGATCAGTTCACCTGGAAAAAAATGGACACTTTGGAAGGTGAACTCTATGGCACTGTACCCCACTGAGGTCCCTGTCTTCCCCAGGCTCCAACCCCAAATTTCTAGGAGTTTCCCAATCCAGATCTGGCAACCCACCCTCCCATCCCCCGCCAGTGGCCATGGGGGACCTGGCAACCAGTCCGTGGAAGAGCTGGGACAGGCCCTAATCATGTAAAAGGTAAAGGTTCCCTTGCTCGAAAGCCAGTCGAATCCGACTCTAGGGTTGCGGTGCTCATCTCCGTTTCAAAGCCGAAGAGCCAACGCTGTCCGAAGACATTTCCGTGGTCATGTGGCCGGCATGACTAAACACCAAGGCGCACGGAACACTGTTACCTTCCCACCGAAGTGGTACCTATTTATCTACTTGCAATTTCTAGCTTTCGAACTGCTAGGTTGGCAGGAGTAATCATGTAAAATTCTACTAATAATTCAGTATTTATCCCATGGCCAGAACACTTTATTTTAATTTTCTACTTTTATTTGGGAATTTTAAACGGTTGTACATAATAACATTAGGCTAAAGCACTCTCAGCAGATGAAAACAGACCCATTAACTAGTGTTCCACTCTGCTGTTGGACACGGCTGCAAACCTCACTTGAAAATAAGACCCTTGATATACTTTTAAATAAAGTAGTAATTTATCACTTCCACGTCATTATTATTTCCCAGTTGGCTGGTCCTTTCAAATGATGCCAAGATGGATCTGAAAATACAGCCTAAAGTATCTCTGCAAGAAGAAGCCAAAGACATAATTTGTCTCAGATATATGTCACTGTTTCTCTATATTTCATCTAAGTGGATTAAATCTCTGAGGCTGAGTAAAAACCACTCAGGCTGTTTGCCTAGGGAGACTCAGGCTGCAATGGAGCAGGGATTTGAAGCTGACAATCTGCAGAAAATTCCTATGTAAAGTCCAGAGAGAGAGAGAGAGAGAGAGAGAGAGAGAGAGAGAGAGAGAGAGAGAGAAAATTACATTACTTTATTTACTGAGCGTATTTTTATCTTAACATCCTCCCCTACTGCTGTGAGGTTAGGCTGAGAGAGACTGACAGGCCCAAGGTCACCCAGTAACATTTCATAGCAAGCAAGGACTTGAACTTAGGCCTCCCCAGTCCTAGTTTCACATTCTAACCATTACACCGCACTGACTCTCTCACCCTTGCAGACATGAGAGGACAAAGATCATGGCAGCTGTGGACCATGTTGTCAGAAAAAGCCCAACTTTGGGTTCGGCGGCAGATCTGACCTAATCAGAGTGTAATCAATAATGCATGGCATGCATAGGGGCAATAGCAAGACAGACTGCAGGGCTGGAGCCTGGTCAACGAACATGCAGCACATACAATATACTTGAATGACAGGACTTGTATCTTGTGTTGCGCTCAGGATTGTTAAATTTAGTAAGGTATCATACAGTTACTGCAGTATTGCACCACTGCCCACTTTTGTGTGTGTGTTTTTGTTTAGTGCCTTGTGTTTCTTACCTTCAGGAAGGGGAAATCTCTCTCTGGTATCCTCAGAACTGAATCAGATAACAGAGTTGATGGGCCATCATGAAAACTAGGCTATTCACAGACAAGGTGGTTTCCATATACATAGGGTAGGGAGCGCAACAGGAATGCAGCAAAATATGGCTTTGCAAATTAACAGAAGGGGGAGGGGGACTCTTAAAAAAAATGTTAATGACAGGACACTTTCCAGGATGCATGACATGTTGAGGGCAGTTGGGAGTCAGTTAAAGGAAAGAAAACAGGGAGATGAGGAAATTGGATCCTGAGAACTATTAGGATTCTTGGACGGAAGTGGATAACGTTGGACTGAGGAGGGTTAATTTCCAAATCATTAAGCCATTCACAGCCCCCACTGCACCCTGTTCCCTCTAGTTCAGGACCGTACCTGTCACTGGGGCAACAGAATGGAGCCACCCTTAGACAGGACAGGGCTTCTGCACTCTTTGGGAGGCCACAGTCCTCTATGCACTTTCCTGGGAGTAAGCACCATCAAATAAAATGGAACTTCTGAATAAAGATGTAAGGGGTTACATTGTTAGAAACATGCACAAAAATATTGCTGAGGGAGAAAATCCCTCCCAAATTGTCTGATGAGAGTAAAGCCTATGCTAAGAGGCACAGAGTGCTAAGAGCCGTAGAGCATTCCAGCACCACGCATCCTTCAATCCTAGGGTTCAGATCCATACAAATGAATGAATTCGTGTCTAAACGGTTTTGTTTTCATAGCCCCACTGAATACACCTGAGTAGGATTCTTGATAGACCTGCTTAGAATGGCACCAGCACCATTTTATCTATGCAAACATGGCCTGCCTAGCAATCAGCACAGGAGGCAGATAATAGGATTTGTTATCTTCTTTTTTTTTTCTCTTCCTCCCCCTATTTTGTTTTCTCATATCCAAGCTGATGAAGCGTTCTATAGAACTTGAAAGTTTGCCCTCTATTTTGTGTTATTTTGGTTGGTCTTAAGAAGAAGTTTTATATGGCTTTTCTTATTGGAGAAAGCACAGGACCGAGAGATTATACTGGACAAACAGTTGCAGGAAAAGGCCCTTGCAGAGTTCAGCAAAGTTCTTATGAAATTAGATTTGGTCATTTACACTTGTGTGAGTGCTCAGCTGGATCATTGTCAATCTGCAAACACTTCTCATTTTGCCAGGATATGATAGCATCATCCCCACAAACCACAGTTCAGTTGTTGAGAGCCATTCTTTAGATAAGTTGGATTCTTATTATGGACCTGTTCCCTGGGTTGCCTTATCCACAAGGGATACCGATACAGTTTTAAAATGGTGACTTAGGGTTCTGAAAAGTGTGAATTACAGACCTGAAGAACTTGCTACAGACATTCATGTACCCAGTGCTGTAAATTCTATTTTTGTGTGCTGAATTACAATTACTTTTGCTGTATTTCATATGAGAGAATCCAAAGAAAAATCAACAGGTAATCTCAACAGGAGAATCCAGTACAGTGCATCAGGTAGGTTAACTGTGATCCTACTATTAAGTACCAGTCTTTTTTTTCCCTTTTAAAATGTTTATTAAGAGGAGGTATAACATATCAAAACATATAATAACTGCAAAACAGTATGGGATTCATAGCTCACACAGCATCTATGTATAGGTGATCAGATTTAGTACTAATTTAGTTTGTTAAGTACCAGTCTTAAATAATAAGTTACCTGGAGATTTCACAATGTTTCACCCCAAAGATGCATGGTTGGAAATAGGGGCTACTGGATTACCTGTTAAACCAAAAATTAAAGCCAGAAGTCAAACTAATAAACCTAAAGTAAAAGCCAGAAGTGAAACTAACATAATTCAGCAGAGAGAAGCCAAAGGATAAAGAGGACATTGATTTACCAGCATATAGCCAATTAAGGAATACAGAATGTTCCCGGATGAAACATTGTGAAATCTCCAGGTCAGCCTATTCTTTAAGACTGGTATTTAATGCACTGCATTGGATTCTCCTGTTAAACTTACCTGTTGAATTTTCATCTGTAAAATTGGAATTAACTGACCTGATGTACTGCATCGGACTTTCCTGCTGTGAATTTACCTGTTGTATTGTATATATTGTGAATTCAGACATTCCTGTTGTTGTAGAAATTATTGAGGTCATGTATATTTAAGCTTAAACTAGAGACTTTTTCATGTGAATATATTGTATAGGGGAACCATATGGTTGATAATAGAGACAGAAATTAGGTGTTCCATATAACAGAATTTTATAAATATTGAATTGCACAGGGTCTATTTTATTAAAATCCTTATTACAGTTTGTATATTTTATATGCACAGTGTGCTTTGCACCTTGTGTTTGTAGCTGTGTGTATATATCCACCATAGACTAAACATGAACACTTCAGTGAATCCAATAAAGTCGTTTCCAGCTTGCGAAAGCGTATATGTTGTTAAAAGTCCAAGATACTCTTCATCATTCCGAAGACTCTGAATATTCCTGTTTTCATGGCTCAGAAGTCATAACATCCCCACAAAATATCAGCCTGGATGTAATTATCAGGAAATCGACTTGTTTCCTAGGCTCCAGCTCCTACCATTCACATCATCAAAAAAGGAATAC